TACAGAGTCGGTTTAACCCACATGCAGTTTGGTGTCAACGTGCTTTCTTGGGACCACATTCAGGTGTCTGGAGCTTGTATCAAATAACATACTTTGTACACGGTAGCACTTAGGTGAGGAGAATTGCTGATGGGGTGGAAGCTGTTCAGCCTAGACAGAACAAGCCCAAGATTTACCAGGAGATCTGGTCCCATCCCTCACCACTGTGATCACAGCCGTTGAGCTACGCAACTCTTCCCTGATCCCATCAAGGGACTGAGTCTCATTTTGGGCAAAGGAGTCAAAACCTGGCCCACATCTTCTGAAGACTTTACAAGCTTTCATTCCTGCTGTGGCCTCTTGACATGTTACCTGCATTTAAAGCACGTCTGACCTTGTTAATGAGTTTTCTGAATTAAAAATAAATTATGACAAATGTGAAACAATTCAATTTTTTTCTATACAAGACAAACTGCGCAATGTCATCTGTATTTCCTAATTAACAATTTTAAATGATGTTTCTGTATAATAATGCCAAAATTAACAGATACAAGAGAAACTGCGCAATGTCATCTGCATTTCCTAATTAACAATTTTAAATGATGTTTCTGTATAATAATGCCAAAATTAACAAAGATACATAAAATAAATCCAATTACTGAAGACCAACAGAATAAAATTCAAAGACAAGATGAAAAGGTATCATTATAATGTTTTATTGTGTATGTATACTGCATAAAATTACCACATAAAATTCTGATCTAAATCATCATTAAGCTGCTATGCCAAATGTTCCAGTGTTAAGCCTCCGGAAATGAAAATTTAAGAATTACCTGAGTGCTCAGTCCTTTTTTTGCTTTTCAGACTCTGGAAATCTGGATGGCACAAAGTCCCTTTGTTAGCTTTCATGAAAAAGAGAGACTTTGTGCCATCTAAAAGCTAAGAGAAGACAGCATATTTTAGCAAGCTAGAGGTACACGAGTCAGGGGTATTTCGCAGATCTTCTACTCCTCCAGAGCAGCCAGTTTAGACTCCCTAGCACCGCTGTTTCAGGCAGAGGGTTGTGCGTTACCATTTACAATGCTGCCATCTATTGACTTAGGTGGGCTTTTATCTTTTATAATCGGTGTTACCACATTTTCCTTTATCAACGATTTGCACTTTTATAGTTTTATCTCGATGGGATTTATCCGGCTAAACAAACACACTTGCAACAAAAGCACCTTGTGAAAATCGTCTCAGGCTTCTCTGAAAGTCAGTGGAAGGACCAAGAACTTCTGTGGTGCGACTCATTTCACCCCAAAGTAGACAATCAACCTATATCAGATGAGCAGCACCCAAAAAGCATTACTGTGCTTTGCTTGTGGCTATAATGTTATCTGAAGAGTGACTAGCTCTGGTGTAGACATCACTGTCACACACGAAAGCCAGCAAAAAGATTATCCCCTTATCTAGTGGGGAAAGTCTTCAGAGAGAGAGAGACACTGCTAATTTTTAATTCATTAACTTGTACTCACACACAGTGAGGCCTCAGGTACTACAGAAAAGAGCGATTAACTACATCTAACTTTGGATGAGAGTTATGACATTAGGTCCAGAAGTCCATCTCCACTGTATATTTTCTTTGGCAGTAAAATTGTCATTAAAATGTTTCTACTCCTCTCCACCTTCTCCCTCCAGTAGCCTGTCCCTTTCCCTTCTTCTCAGAAAGCTGGAGTTAAGTAAGAGAAGTCTCACATGTAGTTTCCTGTACACAAACATACACATCCCAGGAAGGGGTATCAGTCTTTTCCTATAAATTTTACAAATTATACATTCAGATTATACAAAAGTTAGATCTAAAAAGGATTTGTTTAAATCCAAAAATAGAATTTGCATCATGGTTGAAAATCTGCTACAAATAATGTAATGTTAAATATGATTTTGTCCTCTTAACAAAGGACAAGCAGAGTCAATAATTTCAATACTTTGGCCAGTCAATAATTACTCTCCAGTTCTAAAGGTGACTTCTTTTGGATTATGCTTAACTCAGTAGAGTAACACTGCAATAACAATCTGCAAAATAACGGTCTACATACAAATTTACCCAAGTTTAACAGAACCACACATTCTTAAACAGTGGCACAAGAAGAAGTGGTTACTGCCTAATTTCCAACTTCCTACCTTCATCCCCCTGTGCCGGAAACTACCACCCTTTGAGATCTGATGCCTAAGAATGTTCTTTTCAGCTTATATATTAGCAGCAAAGTGTGTTGCAGATTTAAACCTTTTACTTTTTTTTTTACAAACCTTCAGTCATTGCTCTCCTTGCTTCTTAAAGCATAAGTTAATTAAATTAAGTGGCTAATTAATGAATCTAAGCAGCTGGAAAATGCTCTCTAAGATGTCTAGACTTGACAACGTCAAATCTTGTTTCTTATGAGGAAATTCCTATACTCTAATAGCTGTTCTAGTCTAATATTTTGTTCTCTTGCCAGGGAACACCATCCTTGTTTTCAGCCTGGTTTGAGTCTAATGTCCAACCATTGGAGCAACGCTGAAAGCCATGGGAGAAAGTAGTTCAAGAAGGACGTGCTGCATTATGGAACACCATTGATAAAACTGATCAATAAAACCAAACATTCCCTGGAGGTGGTGGAATCTCCTTCTCTGGAGACATTCAAAACCCACCTGAACAAGTTCCTGTGCAACATGCTCTAGGAGCACCTGCTTTGGCAGGGGGGTTGGACTAGATGATCTCCAGAGGTCCCTTCCAATTCCATGTGATTCTGTGACACTTTTGCTCTAAATCTGGGAGGGAAGATCTTAAGTCAGAATCAATAGGAGCCAACCTTTCCTCACCAGTGTTAGCTTTGGTGAAGAAATTGCAGGGATATTCACCTCATTCTAGACCCAGCTTACATTTTTAATCTTTCATGGGTGTAGAAGAAAAGGATTTACAAATCAAGAATTAATGTGAGACTTTCTCTACTGTTGGGTTGTGTGAGGGACTGTGTAAGTGGGTTCCCTGTAAAAGCAAACCGTTCTGCCAAGTTGCTCCTTTTCCTCCGATAAAAGGGAGACTTTCAATACATGAAAGATCTACATGGGCTTCCAAGGAAAACACAGCTCTTTCAGTAGCAGGTATTTTGTGAAGTGAAAGATTCTACTGTAGTATCTAGCCTCATCAGCTCTACACAGATATCTAACTCCCATAGGAAGCCCTACAGTGACACAGTAGCTGGAGGAAAAGAATAAACAGATGATGGAGAAGCTGCTAGTGTTTTAAGAGGAGTGATTTACTGCTCTTAACATGCTGAGAATGTTCAGTATATTTACTTCTTATAACTAAAGCCTTGCATATTTTACCTTGGGGCCACCATTGTCAGACTGCCTCCTCTAGCACTCCTACCATATTTGTGCTAAAGCAGTAAACAGCTTCAGTAAAGTGTCTACTTCTTCAAATTTGAGATTTTATACTGATGATAGCAAATAAAAGAACATCCAATTTTGTCTATAATTTAATTATCTAAAGAGACCAGATATAATTGTATTACCCAAATGCTGTTGATGAAAAAATGTACACCTCAAGGTAATGACCACCAGCTGCACTGCCATGCAACTTGGTGGGAAGGTGATCAAATTCAGTACATACATACAAATAGTTTTAGATCTACCTGCTATATATATCATTGATTAGACAATTCAAAGCAATAGGCATGTGAACCGGTCCATTGTTGCTGTTGCAGGAGCCATAAACAGAATCAGAAAGACCTTGGAAATGAAAAATATACCAGGCAAATGACACAACAGCTATAAAAAAGGGACCGATTCACATATTCATAGAATCACAGAATGGTTCGATTTGGAAGGGACCATAAAGACCATTGAGTTCCAACCCCCCTGCCATGGGCAGGGACACCTTAACAAGAGCAGGTTGCTCAAAGATCCATCCAGCCTGGCCTTGAACACCTCCAGGGATGGGACCTACACAACTCTGGGGAACCTGTTCTAGTGTCTCACCACCCTCACACTAAAGAATTTCTTCCTGAAATCTAATTGAAATCTCCCCTCTTTCAGTTTAAAACTGTTACCCCTGATCCTATCGACACTTATTGTGCTTTATTGCTGCCTGTTCTGATTTGAACATTCAAAATATTCGGTTACTAAACGGTTGGCTTGGGTGTTTTTTTTTCGTTTGCTTGGTTTGTTTTGGATTTTTTTGCATCTGTATTCATCATAGAGAAACGTGGAGAAGCCAGCTATGCTAGCATGTTGAGAGGTACACTAGAGGATCTTTCTCACCTGAAGCATTCATAGAGCAGGTGACAAAACAGAGAAATTGAGCAACAGCAGATCTGCAGGGCCAGAGAGTATTTCCCCAAGAGTTCTGAAAGGAACACAAAATTGAATTAATCCTTAATTATTCTTGAACAAGTTACATCAGTTAAAGTTCTCTGTACAAAAGCACAAGGTAGCTAACTTGACAACACTAGTAAAACAGGGTCCTAATAACATCTGAAGATCTTATGAACGATTAAAATTTGTGTGGCAAATTAGTACATGCCAGGCAAATTGGTACAAATTACTTCAAAGAATAACGTCAGTAGATATATGGGAGATAAATGTAGATACCTGCTATATGAAGGAGACTCAGTATGTGTATTTTATTTTAAAGTGAAATCATGTTTCACAATGTTGTTTTTTTTTTTAATTCGAGCAGGTAACAAAGGGAGATTGTCTCAATATGGTCTACTGGGATTTTCAGCAGGCAAGCAGCTGAGTTAGCACACCAGGAGAGCTGAAAGATGGGAATAAAATGTGAGTTTCTTGTACTGGAAGTACTAATTGAAAGCAAGGGGAGTAGAGAGGAGAAATCCCCGTTAGCTCGGATGGCGGGAGAGGAGCTCTAGGGGAGCCCTCCCTGCCAGATCGGAGCCGATGGCGGTGGCGGGAAGCCATGGCAGCCCCTCAGGGAGTCGAACCCCCCCCGTAGTCTCCCCGCATCCCCACAAGATGGCGCCGCGGGACCGGGGAGGGCCCGGGCGGAAGCGGCAGGAGGAAGCTCCCCTCGCTGGGCCGCACCGCGCCGGGCCCGTCCTGGCCGGACAGGAGGAACGGAGGAAGTACCGGAGGCGGCTCCGCTCGGCTCCCCTCGCTCTCCAGAGTCCCAGGCTTCCCGGGTGGGTGCGGGGATGGCAGCGCCGCGGCGCAGGGTGCGGTCCAGGCCTCCCGCCTCGCTGGGCCGCGGCGGGACGGCTGAGGGAGGGGCAGCCGGGGCGAGCGGGAAGGCGAGCAGCTCGGGAGGGAGCTCTGCTTTCGGAGCCCGGGCGGGGGCGGAGGGGCGGCGTTTGTGGGACGCGGGTCGGCTGTAGGGGCTTTTCCTTTCCTCTGCAAAATGTCGGCCCCCGGCCCGAGGCGGGGGTGCGGGGGCTCGGGCTGAGGGGCCCTCCGTGTGCTGGGCCTTGGGGCTGGGGTGAGCCTGGCCTGAGGGCTTGTTCTCCTGCCACCCCGCAGATTTAATGATTTGGCCTGTTTGGCAGAGGCGAGAAGCTGCTCATCGGTTTTGTGATCGGGGCGATGCCTAAAGTCTCAGATGGGAGTCTGGGTACGGCATCTGTGAGAAAGGAATTTTGCCTTTCGAAGTAACAGTCTAAAAGTTTTATCTGCTTCCTCGTTCATGACTAAACTGACAAGCCATATATGAAACGTAAGATAACTGGGGGTACTAATAATTGTACAGCCTTTAGCACTTCACTTTTGACCTCTGATTTTGGGCCCAAAATAGCTTTTGGGTTTGCATCCTGGATCTTGGAGAAGAAAGACGCCCTTTTTGGGAGCAGCAGTGGATTACACTCTGTCAGGCTCTGCTCAGGTCAAAAGAGCCATAACATATATGCTGAAGATTGATCTGCATGCTTTGTGTGCAGGTCTAGTGGTTAAATGTGGTTTGGCCCTGCAATGAACATAATTTTATCTTACATGTGGTTTGTTTCCCTTCCATTCACAGGAATTGCTGCTATTGGTGTAAGGACATTGGTGTGAAAACATCATAACGATAGGTAGGTCTTTATAGCCCAACTGACTCTCATGTTGGGATGACAACCAGCCATAACTGTATCCTAAGTACTGAACAGATCTGTTAACAGCCCTTCACAAACAGCAACGCAGTGTATAGTGTTGGGAATTCTTATTCTTAATACTTACACCGCCAACTGTCTCAGCAATCACAGGCTTAAATTTCTGCATGACTGTAACTAGGGCACTTCAGTATTAAAGTTAACGTCATACACCATCAATGCACAGTATCAATCTGAAGTACAAAGTCTCAAAACACTTTTCAGGCATTCTGCACCAAGAGTAAGAATTAGAAGTATAAAATTAAATAGGTGTTTGTGGGAAGATGCGCACTATTGATGTTGTTACATGGCCTGCTTTTCTTACTGAACTCTTCAGATCTTTTTAAAGAATGTGCGGTAGGGTGAGCTCAAAATACACAGCAAATTGGTGTTTAACACCTTAAATTGTGAAACTTACTGCCGTTGGTTGTTGTGGAAGCACTTAGTATTCATGGATTCAGAGAAATGAGGCATTCTGGCTTTAAACGCCAAAAGCAGTTTGGAGCTGAAAAAAGTATCTGAACTGCCTCTTGCTGAAATCAGGAGAAATGTACCTAGAAAAGCAATTTCTTTGTGCATACTCTAGTGTTGTATTTTATTGAGCATCTCTTACTACCCATTGCCAGAAACTGGATACTGAGGTAGGGACGTCACTGAGGTAGGGACGTCACTGGCCCGACAGAAGAACACTTACAGGATAAAGGAGCAGGGACAAAAGCAGCAGTGGGCAAAGGATGTGGTCAGCTGACTGTTGTTTCGAGCATTTTCGATTTAAACATAGTTTGCTTTTTCAGGAGAGCTTTATATAAATGTTTTTTTTGCTGAAATCTGTTGAATTTATTGAAACTTCACCTTCCTGTAATAACATCTTCTATTGTATTTTAACATTAATGCTATCCAACAGGCTAATTAATCTTGTGCTCCTCGGTGTTCTCAATAAAGCCAAACCCTCCTTATTCCATCATTGGTAGGTCTTTCTGAGCTGTGCATGTCACCTCCAGTGTGGCAGCCATGTGGTAGCACTATATCAGCACAACACTAGAGGGCTTTGCTCCCAGAGTATCAATTAAAGTACCAAGTTATAAAAAAAGTGTTCCATGGTTGTGTCTCACAGTATGATAGACATTGTCCCAACTTTTTTGACTCCAGTGGAATTAAATGCTGTCATTGCTTTGATCAGATTTATTTATTTTCACTAATGCTTACTTGCCTCAAGTTGGTCTCAAGGAGGCAGGCGTGGTTGGTTTTTTTTTTGAAAGGGAGTACATCCGTATTTAATTATGAGTGGGAAAATGTTTTAAAGCTCAGAAAAGGAAGTAATAACATTTACCAAAAAATAACTTTTCCATCATTTATGACAATAGTTAAGCAAATGTCTTTCTCATTTTAAATTCTACATTTGCTGGTGAATTTCATATTTTCAGTTGTTTCCATATTTTATTTTTAAAAGTATAAATTACAGAAGTAGAGTTATCACGTTTATTTTCTGCTTCTTGACATGTTTCATATTTTATGTAGTTTGTTTTGGAGTATTTATTCAGCTGAAAGTAAAACAAACTCATTCTTTAATTTATTATCCCGGCTTGCAACATCATTATACTCTGCTTTATATATGTAGCCTAATGTTTCATAAATAATTTATGAAAATAATTAAATTTTCTGTTTGGCAAAACAGGTTTTTCATATTCAGCAAACTAGTATAGTTGGATAGTTTTGCCAGGGTTTTTCCCCTCCTGCCCCTTCAGAGAGCATGTGTACAGGTTGCTATTAATAATAAAGTGTCAGACTTCACTTTAAAAAGTGTGTTTACATTATGCTCTGAATCTGATTTCTATTTATGCTGAAGGTAGTTCAAAGAGTCTTTTGTCATGTAGGAATTAGAGTGAACATGAAAACAAAATACACATGCTTTTTCTGAAGTGGAAAATGGAAGACTAGGCTTCAGTGGCCTTAGATTTTTAAGTATGAGAAAAAGACAGTATGGCAGCCTTGACAGTATCCAGCTGAATTTGGCAAAGGGACAAAAAGTACATGTGTATGTCATGAGAGTGGAGATAAAAGTTTTGAAGAGGGCTAGCGTGGGAAATATTTGAAGTGAACAAGCAGGGATAGCCCAAGAGTCTTTTATGTATTGAGTGAGTTTCAAGTGTTACAAGTGACTAAAATGTTTTACAGTGACCTCAGCACTGGGTTTTCTTCTTCCTCCAAGCGTGAAGGAGAGAATACAATGGATTCATACACTTTGGTTGCCTCATGTCAGATCCTTTGCTTGCATGAGTTGTTGTGATTGCACTGGGACTGCTTATGTATGTAGGGCTTCTTGTAGATAGGTTGGTGTAACCAAGGGTTTATGGGTTGTTTATGGGTTTGAGCTTGGTGTTGGCTTTGCAAAAGACAGTAATTTGCCTTTGTGGTAGCTGCATGATTTCCATTTTCTTTGAACATGGCCCATCCCTGTTCTCCTTTCATGCAATACAGCTTATCTTAAGAATCAAAAATTGCTGTTTAATCAGCATTGCTAAATCTGAGGTACATACAACTGGTGTATGTACTGTATTCATATGCATTTTGAAAAATCCTGGGTTTATGCTGGTGTAAATCTACAACAGTTCTAAGAGCAGTCTTGGCTATATTCCAGCGTTGCTGGGCATAGCATTTGTCTTAGAGGTAGCAGTGGTGGTTTGCTGTACTGAGTTTCTGTTACCTTTCACTGGTGCTCACCTAACATAAAGTTCAAGTTGTGCACGAGACCATCAGGAAAAATACGCAGACAAAACAGCTAACATCTTAATATAATAAAATAGTTGTCAGATAGGGAGGAGATTCAGAATATTTCTCAGTGATTCATGCTGGTAAATGACACTGAAAATGATGGTCATTTTGAATCCTGCCTAAAAGCTGTAGATACCTTGTTCTCCCTCTCTCCAGCCCTCCCTTTTTTTTTTCTCCTCTCCAGTTGCCCCTCTTCCTTTAGCCTGTGCCTCACATTTCAAAAATGTGATTGCAACCTGAATTGGCTTGTGTTTTATGGGAGGAAGGATCAGATGTCTGAAAAAAGGGATTGTATGTGGTTATAAGTGCACTATAGTTTTAAAAAGAAACCTTGCTACTTGAATGGAGTCAAGATGGGTTTAATTATTTTATGGTAGTTGCTTCTTTTATAGATGTCCCTATGCAGACACCACTAAAAAGCAAGAAGAGTGTGTTTCATTTAAGTTTATGATTTTTTTTTTTTGGCATTAATTTGGAAAATAAAGGTTGTAGAAGCATAAAGTGCAAGAGAAAATAGGAAAGACAAAAAGGTAATGGGGGAAAAAAAAGTGTTCAGTCCCAGTATTTCAGGCTGCATTGTATAGAAGGCTCCTTTTTAACCTTCTTATTGTAGCGGAGAATTTTCAGGAATGGGATTTTTACGCTAATAAAAAGCTACAAATAAGAGACTTCAGCTATCTACAATGGAGAAGGGATATTTAATCACTGTAGGCCATAGTACTCAAGTTTAAGAAAAATCTATTCAGTGCTTGTGACCATCTTAATATATTTCTTTTTATGAATTAAAAAGATACTGTTTTCATTTCTAGTTCACCTTGATCACCAGAACAGACTCCACAAGAGATGGTAAGTGGTCTTTATGGGTTTCTGTGTGATAACTTAGTCACATTTTATATACAAAATGCATATAAACACTTACTGAACTGTCAGTGCAGACATGTAAAAATTAGAAGTGAAAGTAGCTAAATGGCTTTGAAAATAGAATTCACATTACAACAGTGAGTGATTTGTCTACTCCTGGGAAGACTCCAGAGACATAACAGGAAAATAACAGAGAACTCTGATCATTTTCTTTAGATTTATAGCTTTTGTTTCCTTGAGGAAATCTCTTATTTCCATTTATTCCGCAGCTGAAAAAGCACAGACATAGAATTACGTTAGGCTTTAAAGTGTTCCTTTCCCTTTTCCACCCCAATGTAAAACATTTCTGTAATTTCTTTTTTAACAGATGTATTTTTAATTTTCAAATGTAAAAGGGGTCTTCAAGGGTCACTTTCAACAAAAAAGACACAAAATGTAGTTGGACAGGCACCAGCATCACAGTTCTGTCTACATGAACTAGCTTTTTGTCTTCCTTTCCCCTAAATTAACAACTGGAGCTAGTCAGCAAGACAAATCAGCCAGCTGGATTCCAGAGCTTTCAGTAAAGTCATCAAGGCTCTTTTTAGAAACATTTTAGAAGAACTGGAGATAATTTTTGTGCTTTAAAAGAATATGGTGTCTTCTTTGGAAATAGATGAAATGTAGGAGATACCTACTTGTGTCAAGCTTCACAATGTTTCAAAACTAGATTTTTAAGTAGTGGAAAAAATATACAAAATGTTCTAAAAGTAACCTGCAAATGTATTAGATTTGACAACAGGACGTTCTCATCTGACTGCTGCAGGATGAGGAGTCAGTGTGACATTCTTAAGCAAAGCAAGAACAGTAAATAAAACATTGTTCATCCTAGCTTTTAGGTGGCAGGATGATTAAGAATAAAGAAATTCCATATGGAAGACAGATGCTTTTCTTGCGCCCACTTATCTTAGGAATAAATCTTCTGAAATGCATGGTATTGTAGCAGCACGCTGTTAGACCAAGAGAAGAATCAGAATGAAGTTTCACCTCCCTGAATTTTTACTTTGCAGTCTGGTCTTTTAAATTGCATAGGTGATCTCCATAGCCCTTCACAAATAGGCACAATTTTTTGATCAGAAATTCTTAGGGAATGCAAGTTTGTTGTAGTGGGTTTTCTTTACGGACTCTACTAGTCAGACGTGTTCTGCTTCTGAGAGCACTTACCAATGAGCTTAAAAAGACAACACATTTGTGGATCTCTTATAGGATAATGTGCTCAATTTTGCAGAAAGAGGGAAACATGAGAGTTACAATTATTATTCCAAACTCTAGCATTTGCATTATTGCCTGAGAACCAGAAAGTGAAAACAAATGTAAGTAAATGGAATTAACCTCACTTGATATTGTTAGCATGAAATGGAAAATATTTCTTAGGTTTGTTTTCTGTTTTGTTTTGTTTTGTTTTTCCAGAGGATCATTTCTTTAAGGCTACAGAATGGTGCCAGTGCAGATCAAGAAAACATGCTTAAAGAAAGACTTTTGTCTTGGTTTTTTTTTTTTAAAAGAGGGCATACAAACTAATCAAGGACTGCAAACGTCACATTCGTCTCTGAAAATCTCAGCTAATCTTGCCATAGTTTTAAGTGTTTGCCAAAACACGGCTTAATTAAAATTCTTCCAATTTAAAGTACAAGCATTCTGTTTTGGCCCAGGTAAAATATTTTGTGAGGAAATTAAGATGTGGGGGAAAGGAAAAAACATTTTCTATTTGTCTGACGTGTTCTAGGCTCTAGTTCACTCTATGGCCTTCTCTTAAGATCCTTTATTATCCCCTCTTTTTGAGAATAGGATGAAAAGAGAAATGAAGTGGCCTGTAGGAAGAAGGCTTAAGGCTAGAGGGACTGTAGGGCTTTGTAGTTGCTGTTGGAATCTGAACAGCAGGAAACTGTTTTTTCAGGAAAACTAAGATTAGCTGGAAGACAGGAGAAGGTGTGTTACAGTATGTTTCATTCTATAGAACTATTTTTCCATATACTTTATCAGTGGTACTTTATTACCTCTTTTAATCTGTTGGTTGCTGATGAGTACAAAAGGGGGATTTACTGGCAGCTTGCACTGGGCTAAATACAGTCTTGTTTTTGATTGAGGCCATGATGGATATATGAACTTGGCTGAATTGCCATTTGACCTTTTCTGAGAAACTTATTTTGGCAGGCAGATGGAGGAAATATGTTAGTGGATAAAATGAATGCCTTTGTTTAATATGGAGGAATTTTAATCTCTTGTGTTTTCTGTCTGCGGATTTGGAAATCAGGTGTAAGTTGTAATGCATACACCTTGGAATGATTCAGTTTTTGCAACTCACTTGAGTGGCCAAGGAAATGTGGAACGTATCCGCACAGCAATTCCTCTAAAATGAACTGATTCCTACTGTAGGAACACAAACACTTCGAAAATTCCTTCTGGACACTACAACTTCTCTACTATTAATCCTTTGGTGGTAGTTGTGTTCACGCAAAAGGAATTTCTTTTCAGAGCGATGAAGTGTAGTGCACTTGCACTGTGTCAATGGCAGCCCTTCTCTTTCAGTTCTATATGGTTTATCATAGGAAAAGGATAACTAATGATTAAAAAGCAGACTTTGTGCTTGTGTCTATAGTGTTTCTCTCCTCGATTACCATTTGTTTTCTGTATTTTACATATATTTTTCTTGGTGTTCTTTCCCCCTCCTTTTTTTGGCCACAGGAAGACACGGAGCCTTGGTATTGTCAGAAAGTATACGCAAGATACTGGAAGCACTATGACTTAGCCATGCGCTGGATGCGTAGACACCAGAAAGCCTACAGGAAAGCCATGGAGTCCCTTTATCACCTACCATGGCATCCTTCTGCAGCCTCTCCAAGCGGCCGCTACTCAGATTGGGATGGGAATGATCTCCCACACACCCACAACTATTTTTCCAGCTGTAGCCCACATGGCAGAGCTCAGTACGGTGGGGGAGCTCAGCAGTACACAGATGCCCACCAAGGGAGGGAGGATGCTGACTGGGACTCTGAAATGGAGGAGGACTCTGAGTCTGAAGGGGAGATAGAATATGACTTGAGTAACATGGAGATCACAGAGGAGCTTCGGCAGTTTTTTGCACAGACAGAGAGGCACCGGGAAGAACTGCGTAAGTCCATGCTTGGTCTGTGTTTTCTGGTATCTGGTGGCCATAGTGTTGAGTGATGGATGGCTTCAACGTTCACAGGTTTTGTAACAATTCACGGAAATAGGTGCTGCGAGTGAGCAAGCCAAACAGAATGATGCAGGCATAACTGATGGGTGTATTTAAGTATCATTCCTTAGACGTATGTCAGAAAATGTTTGAAGTTTTTTTCATTGAGGGAGAGAGTGTGATTCTCCTCTTGGACTGCAAAGAGGAGGATAACATACTTGTCCAGAAGGCGATATTCATCTTCAGTGCTGCAGGAAAAACTCCAGAATTTTTATGGTTAAATCTAGTTAACATGCTATATGTCTGAGAGGGGAGCCCAGAGGAAGTGCTTTACTACAACACTAAACCCTAGAGTAAGCCTCAATGTATTTTATAGCACGGAGCAGCCATTTTGTTTGTTGTTCTTTGGCTAATCCCACAGTAAAATTCCATGACTGTTTTCTTCTCCCCCTGCATCCCAAGGGTACTCTTCATTCTGTACCATACTCAAAGTTTCTCTTTGTTTTGCATCTTGATTTGGACCCAAGTCCTCAAGCAGGGAATATAAGCTAAAGGCTTAAGATTTTTGTCAGTTCTTGATCTTCAGAGGTATTGGTCATCTTTGTTTCTGTGAAATCCTTAAAAGAAATAAAAGATTATATTGTACTTAGTGACATTTTACTTCATATACAAACGTTGCAGGCAAATTTATTATCTATTTTAAGAAAGCAGCATGATGAAAACAACTTTTTCCACATGACTCCAATAGGAAATACCCAAAATGAATGTTTAATAGAGCTTTCTCTTCTTTCTTAGAAAGAAGGAAATGTTGTAAGTATGCATAATAAAGGCAATGATTAGGAGGGGGAGACAAAAATCATGTTATTTTAGGTTCTTTGATCAGAAGGCATCTGGTGAGCTGAAACACCTGAGCTTAACTTCACACTTCCTGTCAGTATGATGCACACACAGTTAGCAGAGGAAGGTGAGTTGAGGTGCTCAGTGGTAGTGCCTGACATCATCCCTTTGCTTTTTTTGTCATACTTTCGCAGAATCAGCCTGGTGTTCTCTGTTGAAATGTTCCTTTAATGAGGTACGGGATGCTTTAAGATGCTCAGCTACTTCTAGAAATGCAATACATTTTCTTTGGATTTATTTTGTCCTTATGGTTAGTGATGTTTAAAGGTGTGCAAGTGATTAAAGTGGTATCCTAGAAATTGGAAAATCTGGGCTCAGAGATGTTCTCTGTCATGAGTATCTTATATGACCTTGGTATAGCTATTTAATCTCCTCCTGACCTCTCACTGGCTACTCTGGCTAAAAATATGATTTGATTCTTTATGATGAGCTGGTGAATTGGGAAGTTTGTGACTCAGAATACAGATTTTACTTTTGTTCCTTCTGCCACAGCGGTGCTCGGAACCTTTTGGAATAATTAGGTTTCTGCTGTGTGCCATGCACTAGCTTAGTTCTGGGTAAGTGTAACTCCATTCACTTCAGCAGCAGTATTTCAGATCTTCATGCAAATTTCAGCAGAATCTGGTCTTTAGTTACTGCAAGCCTGTTTCCTTAATAGTTTCCATGATAAAGCGAGGATAATAATAATCATCTGTAATTCCTCAAAATATGAGAAAGTAAACAAGTACTTAATTTAATTGAAATTTAAAAGTGCCACAGAACTCTCAGGTGAACAGTGCTATCTAAATGCTAATTTTATAAGTAATTAAAAATATGGTATGATCTTGTTCAGAAGTAATTTTTTCTTGCGTAGTGGGGGCAAAAGTAAAATAGTACATATTTTGAAGTCTGAAGTTTCTCAAAAGAAGAAATGTAAGCAGCAGGAGGAGGGGGAAATTGTTTCCCTGATGGTGTGGAAATGAGCTGGTGTGGAAACCACGTTGAACGCAGTACCACTGTACTTTATGAGGTAGTGTTATTTATTTTCCTGGATGCTGTTTCTGAACAAAATGAAGTTTAGGGGTTCATTAAGCTGCAATCCATAATGACACTATCATGCTATATGTTTCATACTATGCCGAAGAATGATTGTTGTTATGTATTGATGCTCAAGAAGATGGAGGTAATGCATCCACAAAGGAAACCTGCAGTTACTTAAGTATTTCCTTCCTGATGCCTTTTCCTTTTAATCCCAAACCGTATGTCCTGGGCCCCTACCTTAGGACAGTTTTGTATAGAAACTTGGGCACTATAAGGCTTAGTAATGCCTGAAATTTAGGCATCCATCTCTGGAAGAGACATTTGTGATGTTGAGGTAAGAGTTTTAATTTTCTCTATATTGAATGAGTATGTTTGGCTATGTCAAAGCAGAATACCAATAGTGACCTTGACGATCAGGTGAATTATAAGCCAGCTCTTAGGAAATGTTAAGGGGAAGGCTGGGTCTCATATTTTCTTTCTCTGGCATAAATAAGGGGCTCCAGGTGGCATTCACAGCCTTTGACCACTACACCTTGATATGCACTTGGGAGAAAACACCTGGGTTGCTCTTCTTTTAAAATGAACACTATGCTAGAGTTTGATACATGTTTATTGCAACTTACTGAACTGTGAGACACATGGGAAAAGAAGAGCAGGACAAATAGAAAGGGGAATCTGGCACATAAAGAAGGGGATACTTGTACAGAGGGTGTAGGTCTCATTTATCTTTGAGAAGGATGACTTCCATTAGTCTGGTGTTATATAAGCCCTACAAAATTAGGAAATACTACGCCATATCGATGCAGCTGTTTTGGACTTGAGTAATGGGAGTCCTGATTTACCAAGAATGATTTAGCTGGTTCCCACACGTGATCCATGTCTCATCAACATGTAGAAGGATAACAAATGGACTAAAATGAATCCTAGGTGATGTCAGACTCTTCACTTCTAATGCCTGATCCAGAGTCTGCTGGAGGTAAACGTGATCACAGACATTAGGGGATAGGATCTTGCTTACTTTAACTGTGGGAGACTTAAATAGGCCTGAGATGTGGGTGGGAAAGGTATTTGAGTCTGGATGGTGAAATACAAATATTAGCCCTAATTGCAAAGAGGAAAGTTTCAAAGATAAGCAAGCCATCATGTCAGACTAGGTGAAGAAGAAGACTTCAGGTTTATTTCATTTTTCAGTCACTGACACAAACTTAAAGAACAAGCAGATTCCTAACTTCTGTAGTGACTTTTTTGTTTTGTTTTGTTTTCACAGTGGGCATTTGCAGTGATTGGCTGACTTGCACAGTAAAGCCTTTGAAACTGGCAAACTGAGCCTTGCTGCATGTTTTAACACTTCAGCAGTGATACAGTTATTCACAAACAACCTCTTTGAAAACAATCTCTTTTTTTGTCTTTGAATTCATGTCAAATTCTTGCTGGTTTTTATGTTCATGTCATGTGTTGCAGTCAAGTTATGTGTTCCTGGAATGCTCCAGAGTAATTTTGCTGAGGCAGTACGAACTCACACATATTAATGAGCTACAAACTTATCTTGTATTCTAGATATACAGTGCATTTGATTAAAATTCCTTAAAAACCCTTACAGACAGTTTTAATTTCTTTCCTCTTCAGTTGTTTCTTCATAGGCAATCATAATTATCTAATGAATCTATTTTTTAGGGAGTTTTCTTGTCAGGCTGGTCTGTTTTTCTGGTTCTTCATGTAATGGTGATCCTAATATACTGTGCTTCCTGGGGATGTTTTTAGTTGCATTTAAAAGTCTTCCCTCTGGCTGTTGAAAAGCAAGAAGTTATTTTTTGAGGTTACCATACCTGTCAGACCTAGGTAGCATACTGAATTCTGCAAGCATCCTAGATGTAAAGGACACAATACTGTAAGTTACCTCTTTATATCTGCAAGAATTAAAAGGACAAAAACCAAGAAAGGGAGACTCCCAAGCCTTACAATTCTGTAACTAGGCTAATTGCACGTATTTATTACACTTTTCAGTTTAGCCTTTGAGATGTAATTTTTTTCTTTGTTCCCTTTTTACATCTAAGAGAAAATGACTACTGTAACTGAGTGAATACAGCATTACGAGTACATTGAGAACCATTCTGTAGTAGTCAACAGGCAATGAGACAGTGGCCTTTATTTAAAAACAAAGAAAAGCAAAGGAAAGTACCACCATGTCAGTTCATTACTGAAGGATAATAGTCTGTCAATTGTTAATGCTATGACTATTTTTTTCCGGTGTCTGTATTGCCCACACATGCCCTCCAGCTTTTCCCAAAATAATGTTGTTTCAACTTAAAATTTTCATGCCAGATGGAAAACCTTTAACAAAGATTGAAAGGAAATGGTGAATGAAGATGTTTGTTTCAAATCTGCAATTTGTAGGTTTTTTCCCTCGAGTTTCTTTTTCTCTGAAAGATGATGGTTGCCAACGCCTCATGAAGAGAGGATAATGGGACTTTCCATGTTTTGAATAGTACCAGATCCATGAAGCTTTTGGTTTTAAGACCTATGTTCTTCATCGAAAATAGACTTCGATGCACATTTTTTGCCACCATCTTCTCCTTTTTTCCTTCGCTTTGGGTAGATGATGCTTCTCCCTGTTCTTCGTCTGTCTTTTTCCCCATCAGACTGCAGTTCAAATTCTTACTCTTGGACACCAGCATCTTTTTCATTTTGTATTCCTTACCCTAAACCCTCAAAGCAGTGTGGATAGTGACCTTCCAAATGTCTACTCAACTTCTTTGGCTTTGTCAGCCTTGTTGTCACATGAACTTTTACCGCTATCTTTAGAAGTTGAATTGCTGAAGCTTCTGAGAAATGCCTGTGAAATAAGAGTGCTGTCTGCAATATGTGTGGGTGCTTGAGAGATGCTTTTGAAGCACATTCTTTTGTGAATTGAAAGAGAAATGTGAAAGGCTTTCCTTTTGTACCACATCTCTGCTCTTGAGGATTGAACCTTTTATTGTGAAGCCACAGAATCTTCTCAAGTGCCCACACTGTGTCCAATACAGAGGCTGTGTTACTTG